TTATCCTTGCGGCGCTTGGGTCAGGCGGCCGACCATGCACTGCGGGCAGTCCCAGGTTCTGCGCCGTCTGAGTTCCTGTCCCGGACCACAGCCGTAGCAACGGCGGTGCGGCGGCCCAAGAGCCCCCGGACGGGGGAGGACGACGAGCGCTCTGGCCGATGATCTCAAAGTCGAACCCCATCCTCGAGCTCCTCCTCAAACTCCTCCTCAAACTCCTCCTCATCACCAAGCCTCCCCAACACCGTGCCCCGCCCCATCCTCCCCCCACCCATCCCCAAACTCACACCACCACCAGCAGCAGCACTACCCTTCCCCGAAAATAAATCCGGACACAACGCCGGGTCATCGTCCAGCGTCTCGGGATAGTCGCACCCCAGATCCGCGCGGGTGGAGCACACGAAGCGGAACTTGCCGCGGTGCACCGAGTGGCCATGCGGTGTTGTAGCGGCTGCGGATGCGCCGGCCCGTCGCGCACCGCGGGCACCGCCCGTACTTGCCGCCGTCGAGGCTGCTGCTGCCGCGCGGGCGGCCCAGGGCAGGGGTCGTGATGGTGGGGGTGGGGGTGTGCATCATGGGGGCTGTGGGGTTTAGGTTGGGGGGGGAACGGGTGGCTCGGCTTGGGGTTCTGGTTCCGGTGTGAGGGGGGTGCGGGTGGGAGGGGTCGGTGGTGAGGTTGAGGTTGTTGTTGTTGTTGTTGCCTGTGGGCATGGTCGCGATGAATTTGGGGTATTTCTTGCCTGCCTTGTCGGCGTTGCTGCCGTGGTTTTTGCCGATGCGGCCCGTCAGGACTGCGTGGCGGTTGGCGCTCGGAGTGGGCGGTTGGTGTGCTGGGGTTAAAGCTGTGAGGAGGTGGTTAGCTGGGTCGCTCGACCTCGACTGACCAAAGTAATGGGTTTGTAGTCGAAAATGATTCAGCGAAAAGGAAAGAGGAGGTAGAAGGTGAAGTAGAAAAAAGAAATAGCTTCTGGTTTTTACTTACGCTTGCGAGAAGGCATTTTGTGCCTTGGAGTTTGTTTGGTGCTCGCTTTGGAGCTCGCATGTGAGATAAGCAAGCGAAGAAACTCCGAGGTTGGCAGAGAGAAGTTGGCCGCCACTTTGTGAATCAAGTTGGGATTTTGAGTTTTGAGGGTGCATGTGTTAGAAACACACTGGAGGTCAGTTAATCACTGTGTGATTCTTGTGGAACACTTCCCTACTGGAATCTCAGGCCACAAGGTTGTTCGCAGTGAGAAAAGGGTAAACAGCCTCCACGTAATGCTTGCGGTGCCAGTAGGTGTAACTCTTAGGCCGCAAGGTAAGTTGCGAGGCCGTGGTTGTTCTCAACAGTGCAATAAAATGGTGGCAGAGATACTTTAAGCCACAGACATTAGAAACCGAATGAAAATAGCAACAGGCCCATCCGACAACAAGGCTATGAACACAATAGCAGAAGCGTCTTGAACTCTTGTCTCAACAGTTGCGTGAATGGAAGCCACATCCATGACTGTTGTTCATTGACAGTGCAGATTGACATCCAATATTCCACTTCTCGCCAATGTCATTGAGTCATCGACCCTCTTTCATATTGGTAGGAGAAAGATGATGCAGTGAGTGCCTAAAGTTCAAGTTCTTTCTCGACCCGTCACTTTACTGGCATATCCAGATGCCCTTACATCACTGCATTGGCTGCCTTCTATACAATGTGGAATGACTACGACATAGAAATATGGTTCCACCCCCGTACTCAGCCTTGAAGTCTTCTATAAAATGGCAATGATGCGGCTGTAGAGCCTCTTGCATGCTTGTGCGTGAGTGGCTGCCTTGCTGTGCAAGTTGTGGGACAAAGTGGGATGGAGAGTAATGTGATGGCATCTGAAGTTTGTTGCTATTTCAAAGCTTCCTGCTTCATGTTTACTACTTGCCCCTGACTAAGTAGGTAGGTAGTATGAGATAGAGACGATACAGTAGCGGGACCTTTCCGCACCTCTTGTGTAACTATCGTTTGTGCCAGTCATAAAATGACGAGGTACGTACATACAGGTAACTGTTCAATTGATTGTCCTCGGCTTTACCATCATGCATATTCGGCTTCACAGCCAGTTTGGGCACCTTGGGGTTTAAAGGATGGCATAAGAGGCCTTTCACTAAAAAGAACCGTCAACGAACGACTTTCCTCAACAAACTAGCTACACATACTACGGTACTTGGTAGGCAGCCGCTTATTCCCCGTTCCGAGCAGTTGATTTGTTTCAAATAGAGAAACGTAAGGTACCTGACCAACCGCTTGCATCATGGACATCTCTAACATCCCCTGCTTTCGTCTACATTCCCAGTTGTACCCTTTATCGTCAGCTCAAGCAATATCCCACCCAAAGCGTCGTGTGTCCCTTTTGAAATTTTTATAGTCCCAAAACGAGTTCGTACATGTTGGGGTGGAAAGGATTGAGCAAGCGACTGTTCCAGTCCAAGAGGTGGACGGCGTTGAGATGCCGAGGCTTTATGGGTATGCTTGCCCATTCGATGGTGATAGTAGTGTTAAAAATTGCGCACCATTTATTGCAGGATGGTTTCCAGTTTATCAACCTTATTCCGTTCGTTTCCACAGAGGAGCTTCGAAAAGCAACATCGAGAACCCCGGTCTCCCAGCAGCCCTGGAGGATAGAACCAATCCGGATTGCTAGGATACTTAGACACCTAGCTTCGTAACAAAAGCGGTCGTCGTGGTCGTGGTCGCACTCGCGGGTGGGCAACTGATGCATGGAGAAAGGGCGGATTCGGATATCAAGCTTGCTAACCCTTCTGACGAGGCATGGGCGGGACACCCAGGTTGGCATTAGGCCAGACTGGCCCAGTAACATGATGTCAAGCCTGTACGGGTCGCCAGAAACCCGCCCGACGATATATTGCGTCTCCTCGCGTATCTGCCGGTTTGTCGCAAGAAGGGAAGGTTGGGCGCTCTTGGCGTCATTGGTTTCCTTGACGTACACGTTAATGTTGCCGCGGGCTGGCAAGAAAGAGCCGTGCGGATAGTGACGTGTGCGCCTGTTTCGGATGTCCGAGGGCGACTTCGGGGCCGCATGGCGGACGGCGATGGCCTCTTCGAGGATTTGAAGCCGGAGCTCTGTGGGTAATCCAAGCAAGGTGGCTTTGTGGTACGTCGGTTCTGCCATCGTGGGCGGTGCCATGAAAATGCGAGATACCAGTAAATAGGTAGGTAGTTAGTAGTTTAGAAAGTTTGCATTTCAGTTTGCGGTTTTGAAATCCCAAAGCCGTCATTTATTGGTAACCATTTATGTAGAGAGTTACCCTAGATACCCAGTCTGCAGAGTGACAAATGGAACACACTGGTCTACCTTATGCCCCGTGGGTTATATTCGAAGGATAAAACTTGAGCAACCTTGAGAACATGCCAAGTGGTTTCGTCATGATGATGGGATTGATTGAGACTGTGAGGTCCACGCCCTTGAGCGGGGTAATGGGGCGAAAGAGAAGGTCATTGTGAGAAAAGGGAAAAAAGGAGATAGGAAAAGAAAGGAGTGATTAGGTGCGTTTTAATTTTGAAACCCGAAGCTCAAGTCCTACGAGCCCAAGAGCCACAAGACTCTAGGGTCAGCAGTTTACAATACATCAACTTTACGGGCTAGCATTCTGCCGAGGGGACGAGGCTTGTCGATGTTGTCATAGATTTTCCATTTGCTGTTTCTTCAGTGACACGTCCGGGCTGTTCGTTTTCACGGCTGCTGTGACGAACCTACTTCAGGACCCTGTCCTGTTAGGGTTCAGCTTCGGTTGAAGGTAATCTCTCAAGGGTGCTTAGGTTCGGTGCAGCCAAAAGGTGCACAACAAAGGCTTGTCTCAACAGTAGGCTTCCGAGCTTGTAGCGAACTGTAGTTGTGATTGCTAACTGGAGAACTCCCAGAGCTCTCCAGAACGAGTGACCATATACTTCCTAATTTCTGGGTGCTCAGTCTGCTCAGTCACTGAGCACACTGAGCACATTGCTCTCCTTGCTCAGTCGCTGAGCATACTGAGCACTCTGCTCACCTTGCTCAGTCGCCGAGCATACTGAGCAGCCACTGATTGGCTGTACTAACGATTGGTCTGGGGCGTCCTATGCCCCACTCTTGTGCATTCAGCATGGTGGTTTGTGACAGCTGCGGTTTGGCGGGTTTGCTCTTTGCAGCAGCCCAGTCATTCTCAGTTTGCGTAACTAATGTTAACATTCCTTGAAAAAGTCGAAGCAAATAAGATAGAACACAGTTGGGAAAAACCAGGAATGTAAACCAGGAAAATAAAAATAGGGAAGGGCTCCCAAGCACCCATGAAATACTATCAAGCACCCAGCTAACTATACCTAATCGGGATAATCGTTTTTTCCATACGTCCGAGTGAATCACCAATACCAAAATTTCGGGCTGCTGTCACCTGGCCAGCTTACCATACCGTTGCGTGACTTCCGCAAAGTCGCTTCGAGATCAACAGCGCCGAAGCAGCAGCAAAATTTCCGACGACCCAGTCACATCGACGACCCGATCTCTTCATGTAATGCCCTCACGCCGGTACGCTGCCATTTCTTTTATGCTTAGGGGCTCAAACTGACCCTCTCGATGCACTTCTAGAATAGGTACCTTTGCCATGACAGAGCATTCCACGGAACCGATCCCTCGACCGTGCGGCCCGCCGCCACCCGTCAAGGTCTACGAGAGCCTAGACGACCTGTTTTAAGATATCTGCACTCACGGACAGGCACACGGCTATAGCATCGTCAAGAATGGGAAAAACGGACTCAAATACAAGTTCAGATGTGCCAAGGCTCGCAAGTACAAGGATCAACGCTCCTCCGAAATTCACGAGAGCAAGCGGAGGAAGTCCAGCACCCAGATGACCGGCTGCAAGTTCCGACTGACAGCCAAGCCGCTACCTGACGGCAAGTGGCTGTTAGAGGTGCCTGAAGGGGAGTTCTCAGGTCACAACAACGTCAATTGACATGATGATTTTGCTGTGCCATTGAGGGAATCTCGGAACTTTTGGCGCTGTTAGCCCTGTTTTACGTGAATTACATATGTTACGCGAGCTGACGGTCCGTCACTGGTAAAAGAAAGAGAGGGGCATTCCGGACCGTAGGGTTTGGCATCACCAAACCGTATCATGTGACATCCCCCATACATAACCCTAACCCCCATCCTCCTTCAGCTTTTTCTCGCCCAGGGCCATCAATTTCTCAAGCCGTCGTATCTCTCAATTTCTTCAAAAACGCAATAAAATCGTCAATCTATTTGCATCGCTCAATTTTTTCAAAAACGCAATAAAATCACCAAATCTATCCGCATCGCTCAATTTCTTCAAAAACGTGGTCGTTTCGCGACCGCATTGTAAGTCGGTTTATACCCACACATTGACCCCTGACTTACACCCGCATTTACAGTTCTACCGCCATGGCTACCCTGCAGGTGCCCGGTTACGACGATTACGACGACGATAACGGCGATCAACAAGTCCTACCGCTTTCTTCTCCGCCGCCCGGCCATAAGCTTCTTACCCACCATTACGACTCTCTTGCTGAGCTTACCGGCGACCTGCATAACTGGGGGGCAGGGGGGCACGCGCCGGGGGGGCACAGGGAAGGGCGCGCAGGAGGGCACAGGGGAGGGCGCATAGGAGGGAGAGTCAAGTCACATGACTGAAAAAAAAAAAACATGATTCTATAGATTTCGATTTTATTGCGTTTTTGAGCGATTCAGCCGCTGGAAATTCAATTGACAACAACTGCGTTCAAGATTGTTGAAAAGATTGTTGAATTGTTGGAAAGGGGGCGCCATTTTTGGGGGCTGTTTGGAAGGGGTTAGGGTTATGTATGGGGGAAGTCACATGATACGGTTTGGTGATGCCCAAACCCGTACGGTCCGGAATGCCCCTCTCAAAAAAGAAAAACGATTATCCCGATTAGGTATAGCTGGGTGCTTGATAGTATTTCCTGGGTGCTTGGGAGCCCTTCCCTAAAAATAGGAGTGGTTCTGACGTACTCGATGACCAGCCGAGTAAAAAGGAGGCGTGCACACCAGGGTCGGGGTTGTAATATATGGAGGAAATCAATAGGGTTGGGGTTATGTATGTGTCAAATCACTAGGGAGGTTGTCAGAGTTCCGCACGACAGTAACACAGTCGAGACAGTCTCCCAAACGTCCCTACCAGGTAGTCAACTCGAAAAACATAACGTAGAAGACAACCAACCAGACTTTATTCCCAGCATTTTTTGAGAATGGAAGGGAGGATGGAGTTACCATGAGCACCCGCCTGGCCTACCTACATGCAGGTACCTGGTAGGTTATTAGTAGCCAAACGGCGGGCACCGGCCATCTCCTTCAGGCGGCGTAGTTGTTCGGTGCTGAGTAAGGCCCTGGCGCGCTGCCGACGTTCTTCTTCCTTTTCCCGACGGTTGCCCTCCACCGCGTCTTTCCAGTAGCGGTATAATCTGTCGGCAGGGTAGATCATAGCGCGCTCGGGTGCCCGGCTAGAGCCAATCTCGGTGGCGGACTCGTCAACTATCATGATTTTCTCGCCACCACGTGTGGTAACAAGGTAGAAATTATCGAGTTTGATATCGCCATACTCAACACCGAACTTCGTGATTGCCCGAAATGCGTTGTCAATCATATTTCTCATCTCGGTCCCATCTCGCTCATAGGAGGGGGTGTCGCATAATTAGAGTGATACGACCAACACGGCCTTCGACAGATGCTTCGCCGAAGCAGACGGGAATTATGGAGCCTTGCAGTGTACGCAATCTGGCATACATGCGCTTTTCATTTTCAAATTCTTCGTCCCAACCGGGCTTCTGTTCCTTGAGGATGAAGGTGCGAGGGAGGGTCCATTGCGGGAACACAGGAGCAAGGAGTCTCAGTACCGCTAGCCTCTAGGGGAAAGTGGGAGAAGATACTGTGTAGGAAATCGTCCAATAGTGTTCGGCGGATGTGGAGTCGCAGTGTCGTGAAGCCTGTGGGGGAACTCGCCGGATGCGACAATCGTGGTTCGCCCGATGGTAAACTGCAAAAGCCAGTCAAAAATTCTGAAGCAATATGTGTAGATTGATATCGCCCGGCCGGGAAGCGTACCTTGCAGGAGACAGATTGATGGCCGTCTGGGCCCATCTTTACCGTTTGGCTAGGTAGGTAGGTACGTCGCGTGAGGTTGCGCGAGCGCTGATCAGCCCAAGCAGCATGCCTGTTGCCTCGAAGGTGGAACTCGACTGGCCCTTCGTCCAAGCGGCGACTAGTGCGTAAGCCTTTCACTGCTTGGTACCCAGCAGGCTGCAGCAGACCCACCACAACAACTGATAAATACGTACGTATCCCGAGAGTTATTCGCCAGCACTGCACACACGCGCACGCATATAGGGATATACCATCGACACTCGCATCATGATGCCTCGATTTTAATCCTCTACCCCTGGTAGCAATCCAGGATCGCAACCACCCGCAACCAACCCTAACCTCTTAACCCTCCAGTCAACCTCATCCTCGTCCGCGAGATCAAGATCCGCCTTCGAGATCGTCTAGGATAACCTCCTTAGCACTCCCTTCATTGTCCGGATTATCGATTAGTTCCAGCCCATCCGCGTCACCTTCGTAGTCCAGCACCTGCATGCCCTGGTATTCAGTTTCGCCCTTGTTCTCGAACGCATGCGGCAGACCGTCTTCGCACACCTCGCCGTTGTGGTACTTGCTGATGGTAGGGAGGCAGGTGGTGCAGACGACGTAGCCGGGGCATGAAGTGCAAAGGTAGTGGTAGCCGAGGATGCTCTGGATAGAATGCGGTGAGTGTGCTGAGATCAAAACAACAGGAAAGAGCGGGGTAGGGTTGTGGAGGGAAGGGAGAGAGGGGAATGGGGCTTACGGAGAAACACATGTCACAACCGGCGGAGGCGAAGTTGTATCGGCAGACAGGGCCATAACTAGTGCCAACATCCACGGGGCCGCGCTGCTCCAGGTGTTTGGTGAGCGTGTCGATGACCTCGTCGCCGGCGCTTCCGCCGCCGCCAGTTCCAGCACCGTGAGGGTCTTCGGTGGTCACCCTCGTTACCGAGCCGGCAGTCGACCCCGGCATCAGCGCCATTTTCGAGCAGCACGCGGACGACGGCGGCGTGGTCGGCCGTCTCGGACTGCATGCCCTCGACCCAGCCAAGTCCGAGCTGCCGCACCGCCCAGCACAGTGGCGTCCAGCGTGTTCGTCGCGCTGGTCCACGTACGGGCGCTTCGCGCGGGGCCTCCCCCATCGCGCGGGGGAGGCCAGGATGAAGCGCACGGCGTCGGCGTTGCCGAACTGCGCCGCCCTGTGCATCGACGTCTTACCGGTAGCCTCCTGGTGCAGCAGGCTGCCTCGGAAGGCGAGTAGTATGGTGCGGAAGTTTTCGAGCCCGTTTGCTGCCTCGAAGTGCAGCGGCAGCCGCTCGAACACGGGGTCCTCCACGTCGGCCGCGGCGCCTTCGTCCAGCAAGAAGTTGATTGTGTTTGCACCTCTCCCAGGCATGCCGCGACAGCGCCGTATAGTATAGGCTACCCCGGACCGCTGCTTGACATCCGCCCCGCGTTCCACGAGCTCCCGTACCAGCCGGTCGATATCCTCGCTGTCCTGGTCCCGATTTGCTTCGATAGGGTACAGCGCCGCCATCAGCGACGTGCTGTTGATGCATTTGGGCGTGACCTGGTTGATGAGCGCCCCCTTGTCCAGAAGGGTGCGGACGGTGGTAATCTCGCGCCGCCGACACGCCTGCTGGAGTGGCGTGCCATATCACCCCACGCAGTTGATGTCCGTCTCCGGCTGTGCCAGGAGGAGAGATAACAGTTCGTCGTTGCGGTTGCGGACGGCGTTGTGCACCACAGTCTCGTTGTCTTTGTCTTTGGCGTTGACGTCGGCGCCTGCCAGTACGAGCCGCTTCAGGCACTCGAAATTGCCCGAGTTGGTGAGGCTGCCTCTAAGCAGCGCGGTGTTGCCATCGCTATCAACCGTATCGAGCTTGAGATACCGCCTGAACTCGAGGAGAACCCCCATGATCTCTGAATCCACCGAGGTCGCATGGTGTATTAGGTCCATGCCGTTGACCATCCCTGTAAGGTCGGCGCCGTTTTCGGCCAGGAGGCGGGTCAAGGATGCATCAGCTACGTAGATAGCGGCGTCAAATATGGGTGGCCAGCCAACATGATCTGGGTGGTTGATGTTGGCCTTCTTCTCGATGAGCATTTTGACCACGGCCTCATTTCGACTAGCAACCGCCATGTTGATGGGACTACTCCCTGAGGAGTTCTCGGCATCCGGGTCGGCACCCGCATCGAGAAGAAGTTTAAATACCTCAGGGTAGTCTATCGCGGACACAAGAACCGGGGGACCGCCTGTGTTGACTCTGGCGCCTCGCTGGAGGAGCTCTCTCGTCGCTTCGACCTGCCCCGCCCTGGCGGCATAATGCAAAGCGCTTTCTTTGTAAGTGTCCTGCGCGTTGATATCGGCGCCGTTATCCAACAGCCACCGAAGCAAAGTCACCCGGCCGCTGTTTGCAGACCTCATGAGCACCGTACTGCCTTGTAAGTCCGCGGCTTGGACGTCCATCGGTTGCTCACCGACCGTCCGGAGAAGCTCGCAGATCTCCACAATGACACGCTCGTCATTGAGGGAACTGTCAATCTCCAGTATCAGCGGCGGCGATAGCAGCTCGTGATTGGGATCCGCACCATGTTCTAGGAGTAGACGGATACAATCAAGGTCTGGGTCATTGGTAGTGGCGAACAAGAGGGGTGTCGAGGCGCCGTTCGCGCCGATGCAGTTGGGGTTGGCGTTGTGCCTCAGCAGGACCTCCACGACTTTCGGGTACGAGCTGAAGCAGGCTACGGTGAGAGGATTCCACCCAGAGTCCGCGTCCTCCGGCCCTCCGTTGCCACTCTGCCCAGGCTCTGGGTCCGCTCCGAGTTCCAACAGGGCTTCGACGACCTTGTGGCTGCCGAAATCTGCCGCGTCGTACAGGCTGCTGCACGGTAGCCTTGATTCAAGCAAGGAGTGGTCCCTCGTGACGAGTAGCTTGGCCACACCGGCGAAGCCGCGGTCGGCGGCTGACTGGAGGCAGCCGATGCGGTTGTCTCGGAGCTGGTGGAGGTCTGCACCATGGTCGGCGAGGGCTTTCACCATGGCCTCATGACCAAGGCAGCACGACAAATGCAGGGGACCGGGATAATACGCCGTGGTTATTTCGGGGGGCGTTGGCGAGTTGCCCAGCGGGTTGGGGTTGGCGCCACGGCTCAGGATGGCGGTGGCGAACCGGTCCATGTTGAGCCATGAAGCTGCCCATATGGCGGATTCTGGCCACTTTATTGCTGTCCCATCACCCTCCGACAGTGACGATATTCTGGTGACCACCTCGAGAGCAACTTGCTCGTTGTATCCTCGAACCCCCGCCAGGAGAACATTCATAAGGAACGGTATTTCCGCGGACGAAGAGGCATCTCGCAGATACTCGGTAACCATACTTGTGTTGTTGCGGCTGCCCGCAGCTGCCACAATGCATTGTTGTCGTACATCCAGCGGGGTCTCGTTCACGTCCTCGTATGACAATATGTCCAGGCCCACAAGAATCGGAAGAGGAGACTCGGGTGGGTTAGATGTCCGTGAGAAGGGATTGCTCATCGCCCAGTAGACTCGAGCCCAGGGCGTGTACGGGTTGTTCTCTGGAGTTGCAAGAAGACGCTCTAGGGCGCCGGCACGTTCGGCTGGGGAGCACTTAGAAAGATGGAAGGGGAAGGCCTGGACGATATAAAACAGGATTCCCTCCCCGTCTGCGGCGATAGAAACGGTCGATGGCTGGCACCCTTCCTCTGCTCCATCTCCAATGCGCGTTCCAAACGCCGAGAACAGATCTTCCAGCTGGCTCCGGGCCTCGGCAGAGACGAGGTAGGCAAGGCAAAACTCCACGATGGCCTGGTGAGCCGTCCGCGCCACCTCGGTCCAAGTGAACCTCTCCCTTTCCAAATTGCGGCCAACAATATCTCGGATTTCGTCCCGGAGCCTGACTCTGTTATCTTCGAACGTGGCAAGCACTCTCAGCCACGACTTTAGTTGTTGCGAATAGCCCGTCGTCAAGGACCGCCTGGAAGAGGTGGACGCTGGCCAGTTCCCCTCGGCGCGATGGCAGCGTAGAAGATCGGAGAGCTCGTCCAAGCTCAAAGGGCGGTAACCGGAAATGACCCAGCCTAGCACCCAGCGGAACTCTTCATAATCGGGGACTGACCTCAACGTTTTATCGAGTGTTTCTTCTGGGGTCTCGTCTGGTTGCATCGACTCTACGAAAACGGTGAATCGGTCAAAGGATCCGAACGAGGAGTTGGCGGGCCATTCGCTGTAGTCCTCGGCTAGCCGGAGCTTCGTGGCAATTCCCTTATCCAAGGGGGTGAGTTTCTTGAACACCTCCTTAAGACGATTTTCATGTGTACTACTCCCACCAAGTCGGTCTAAGAGCTTAGCTTGGGTTTCCTCCAAAACGTTGTCACTGTCGAAGGTCAGGGCGTAGCTATCGGCGCTCAGATCTAGACAGTCGTGGATCTCCCCCTGGAGAGCTTGGGGGTTTTGCGTCGTGATGACAACTTTGAAGGTACGTCCACATCGATCCGAAAGGTCGCTGAGGTAGTCCAGAAATGCGACGCGGCTCTCCCGACTGCATTGGTCTAAGTCATTGAGCACAAAAAGTGCCTTGTCGTTGAAGCAAAATATCCTGAGTGCTTCAATTATGGCAATGCAGGACTCCTCGGACCATCCGGACTCTGCTTGGTAGTAGCCGCCGTTAGCGCGTGTATAAGGAGGAGCGGCTAGGAGTTTTAGAAGTTGGGTTCTGGGTACTAACGAGCACGATACCAGTCCTCAAGGATCAACCCAGAATTACGTCCGGTAAGACATTCCCCCGGGTACACGTTCGCTCCCTCGAGAATGAACGATGCTACCATATCCGCCAATGAATCCCGAAGGGGGTCAGCAGAATCGAACTTGAAGATGAGAGCCTTTGAGCTATCTTCGTTCTTCTCTGCCATTTCTTTCCGCCACACGAGTGAGATATAGTCTGAGACGTCATGGGTGGCGCGGCGAGATGATCCGTGGACGTATAGGGGCCGGGTCTCGTTGCGTTTCAACCACTGAGTATAGTTGCTGTTGAGCTTTAATCCTGACTCCAGCCATGGAATTCGCAGTGGATCAAACTGTGACTGGCGATGAGGTGCCGCGAGGGATACAAAAGCTGGCTCGAGGTCGCGGAACTCTGGCTGTTTAAGTAAATCTAGAAACCCGTCAGTCATGGCACATTGCTTTCGCAATCCCACACGTCCAAGACTCACTCTCGACCTTGTACGCTGTATAGTACGTGAGAAGCGGAAACCGCTTTTCCCCCTCGGTCTGTTCCTCGACCAGTCCTTCTGATGGCACACCGAGCGTTGCTGTGAACCTATCCCAGACCTGGGAGGGCGACACGCCTAGTCAGGCACCTGACGCGTGGCAATTCAAAATCGGGTCTTCACTTACAGCATGAATATCCCCCGGTGAACTTTTATCCGCGTAGATGCTGGCAATCCGGCTGCGGAGGGTCATTTTCGAGTCGATGAATCTCTCAGTCGACCGAAGAACGGAGCCGGCAAGGTGGTGGACGGATGACAACGTGACGAGGTGTGACCACTCCCTATCACTCTCGCCTTGGAGAAACTGCAATAACTTTAATTCCAGGGTTGAGCGGCTGATAGCGCGTTGTGGACAACCCGAGAATATCTTTGATTGAGATGATTAATACGCCTTCAACGTTCAAACAATACGGAACGGTGACTTTGAGAGTTCCATGCGATAACGGGTTCTAGCTTACAATTCGGGACGTGTTAGTTGCAATCCAAGGATACGTCTCGGGGAATCTGGCGGCAAGAGTTAAAGCCTAATGATAACATATGCTCGTTAGAATCAGGGGTACAGAGGGGCTTAAACATGAAGAAGACCAAGGGGTGGGTGATTACCAGTTTGAGCACTAAGGACCCAAAGTCGTAAGCAACAAATTGGATGATAGCACGCCTCTGGTTTGGATGTACTTTAATCAGCTTCAATAGCCACCATTCATGCATCGATTGGGATTATCTGAGCACTACTCACTTGCGGCGCCGACTGCCTCGAAGACAACCCCTCCAAGAGCTTTTTAGCTTGTTGCTCAGCCAGGTCCTCAGTTAAGTCTCCAGCCAACAGGCCGGCCATCTCAACTTGAAACACCAGCTCTGTAGTCAATGTTCTCTCAAGAGGGTCGCCTAAGAGCTGATCTAGAGTGCGCAGGTCGGTCTGAGGACAGATGGCTGTGACATGCACAATGCTTGTTTCGAAAACGATAGTTAGCCATATTCTTCTCCTGTGAGTAAATGAGATAAAACGCTCACTCGGTGATCGGGTATTCACAGTCATCGGAACCACCATAGGCCGTGTGCACCTCCTTTATCGTCATCCCTCCAGCAAGCTCCTCGTCGGGCGGCTGGTCGAGTACGGCAGGTTTTGGTGCGCCTGGGACATCTTTCTCCTCAGCCACCTCCTGAGGCCCTCCATCGCCGTTTGGATCATCATCATTATCCTCTAACGACAGGCCTTCCTCAAGCGGCACTTCGTCCGAAGTCTCGTCCTCATCTAGCGACAGGTAATTGCTGGCGTCCATCGTCCAGGTGTTGGGTTAAATCAAGCCTCGGGTAACTCGGCGTGATTTGGTTTACAATCAAACAAAGAATAGTCCAGAAGGACGTAGCGCCGCAAGCAGGTTGTCGGTTAATTGAGGGTGCGTGAACTCAGGGGCAAGGCAGGTCGGGATTTCAGTTTGCCATCTTTCGGGGCATGTGCTGATTGACTGCAGTTCTTGTCTCTGCAGAAGCCAAGATGGTTGCCTCAGCCTGTTTCTCTCGTGGAGCGCCCGGTCTTGATAGGTAAACCCCCTGGTAGCTTTTTCCGAGGATATTATCTGTTGGTTGCTGGCAACGCCAGGCCCCCAGTAGGCCACTCGGAGGGGCGCAAGTTATGCAATGCAGTATTATGGAGTTTTTTCAGTGCTTCGCCATCCTTAGCATGTTACGAATAGTGCAGTATCTCCGCTCTTGTCCGCTCTCTTGCATGAGACAGGGTCGTATCCGCCCAGCCGCCGTCGACTTGCGACCAACGAAATTGCAAACCCCTGTCTCTGAGAATGCGGCATTTGCCCAAAGCGCTTAAGCAACTCCATCAATTTGGGGGCCAACCTAAGCTTGGTTCGAGATTAGGGGCAAGGGCCGCAAGGCTCCGAGCAGTCCTCCTGCGTTGACAAGCAACCAGAACAGAGGGCAGGTTATACAAGTAACTTGTGGCTTCATTCCGAGGGAACTTGGGAAGTGGAACAATATTTTAGTTTCTGCATTGCCGACACACAACAAAATAACAAAGTTAAGTGCGCTAGCGTGACCTACGCCTCAAGCCCCCTTGATAGAAACACCCGTCCTCGAGTCCTTGACGGCATCTGCGAAAGAGTGATGGAAAGTACAATCCCAGAGCTCGTCTATGGGCGCGTCTCCCAGATTCCACTGGTCAATCTCGGTATCGAGCGCATTGAGCGGCTCGAACTGGGGGTCAAACAGAACCGGGTCGTCGGGGGTTCTTGAAGAGAAGAGGGTTCCCACCCAAGTTGTGAAGTTGGGCCGCGCCTCGATGGTCGGGATCATTTGAAATTCGTCGTCGGTCTCCCGTTCCAGGAGGATACAGGCGCGGAACTGCCTCATGATACCCTGTTGTTGCGCAGTGTTCTCCCTCATGGACCAGGACGCTTGGTACCGGTTTCCAAAATCATCGGCCGGCCGGTTGCCCGTCACCTCGACAGCATAAGACTCCTCCATCTCAACCGTCTTACTGAATTTGGCGCCTCCCTGAGCAGTGACGACAGCACCGCCGGACAGGCCTCCCGACAGCTCGCCGGTCCGCGTCACCGTGGAGTTGGTACGCATCATGGTATGAGTCGCCGAGGGCGCCATTTCGGCTACCAGAGGGCCAGCTCCAGCAATACCATCCTTGCTTCGGAACTCGAAGTGGATGTCCGCCTCCTTGATACGCACGGATCGGTAGGAGAAGAAAGAGAAGTCATAGACGAGGAGCGTCGCGAGTCCGCCTGTCTTCTCGTTGAGCGTGCCGTGAATAATGGCTTTGGCCTCGCAACCAAGATAGAAAGCTGGCCGCGACTTGGACCCGGCCGTGTGTCCGGTCACTTGCCCACGCTGCTTCTGACCGGGCGTGTTGCGGGTGTGGAATCCTAGTACGTTTCCAAGTCAGCTCAGTATAAAAACACATTCATAAAAGGTAACGGAATCATAAAGTACCTCCTTTCTGCCCAACACGTCCCAAGTCAAGCTGGAAGAAGGTGGGATCGGCAGAAGGTGCCGCAGCCTCAGTGTCATAGTACCCTTCGTCTTCGTCGCCGCTCACCCAGAGCTCCTTGTCTATGTCGGCCATTCTTAAGAACGCGGGGCAAGCTGTTGACGATCAGTTTGAAATTGTGTCAATTCAAGTTGATGCTGTTGTCAAGGTTGCATCACACAACAGGGGAGGGGGGGCGGGGGCTTTCAGATCTCTATAAGGCAACAAACGGACTGGAACATCGGTGCCCACCCTCTCAGCCTTCTCTCCCTCTTTCTCACTTAGATCTTTGTCATAAAAAGTGAGGTTGTATTGGGCGCTTCCACTCCATGCAGCAAAAGTGGCGCAGTGTGTTGGGGGCCGTCCCACTCGCATACACACACCCCCCCCCTTTTCCCCCCTCCCCCCCTGGACACCGTGCGGTTTTCGCCCCTATTGTCTGAGAGTCCCTCGCTTCCCCTGCTTAGAAGCCTGTGAGAGTGCTGGCGCACTTGGACAAACCTACCAAGGGAGGAAATAAGGCCCTTCCCGCTTCCATATCTCACTCAGACCTCCGATACACCCTACCACCGGCCAATGTCCTGGTGTGTCTTCATAATGTTCTCCTTAGGCCTCACCCCCCAACTGTTGACCGTAGAATCTCCATTATAGTGCTCTCTCTGGCCTGTGTCTGTTCGGCTACTCGTGTGTGTATCCCGAGGATCACAATCATTTTTTCAAACGCAGTCCAGTCAGAGTAACCACAATGTCCCACCCAATGGAAGGAGACCTTGCATTTGAGACGGAGGATGACTCCGATGTCTTGGATTTGGATGATATGGAGGTAGAGCTTCCCAACATCGCGGGCCATCACATACGAGCCCAAGGCAGCGACGAAGCCGAGTGGCGGAAGCTGGAATTGGAGCGTCAACTGAAGGACGTCATGGGCCAGCTCAGGGACGGACACCGCAAATGGGGTGAGAGCGGGCCACCGGATGTCCCGCCTCTTGAATTATATAAAAAGACGACGCTTGCTACCAAGAGAGACGCGGAGGCTACGAGGGCAACCGCCCTCCATATCCTCGCGAGGCAGTACAAGACTGACTATGCCGACATCCCTGGAGAGATTATCCGGCCCGTCATCCGCGATCTGCTGATACAAAAACGACAAGCTCTCGGTGGACGCAGAGTCGGGGGAGAAGGAGGAAGGAGGAACCAATCTTGAAGGTGGCCATAACTTTCAACAACGACGAATTCATTCGCCAAGTTAAGGAAGCTTGGCCAGAGGGATTTCTCGGATCTTCTTGATGCTAGAGACAGCGACAACAAGAATGCCTCTGCACCACATCTTTGCTTGGCCGGATGAGAAGGTGACAGTGAGACTCGAGGCCGACGCGAAGACGGTTCTGAAGAGAGCAATGGAATTCGTCCCAGTAGCAAAAGCCGAGACCATCGCCGCACAGGATGTCGATGGCAACACGCCCATCCATTACGCTTCCGACTATCGCCAATGCTACCAGAGATCTGACGAGTATGTCAGCATCTACAAGGACATGGTACGCAAGGGAGACGACTTGATGATGGGCGAGAGCGCCTTCAACAACAGGGATGAATCTCCC